GGGGGGGGGGTTCTGTGGGACAGCAGCTTGCACCAGGTTGGTGTAAAAACCGAACAGGATCCAGACGTGGTTCTTTACACTGACGGTTACAGTAAATTCCAGAATTCCAGCAGCAATTTGAATCATGTTTTTGAAAAACGAACACAGACGAACACAGGGCGGGTGTCCCCGGGGGCTGCCCCCTTCCGCAGGCCCCTGCATCATGGGGGCCCCGGGGCCGGGGCTCCCGCGCCGCCGGCCTGCGCAGGGTGGACGAGGCCCTGGCGTTTCCCGGGCGACGCAATAAATAGGAGAATCAAATGGAGAACCGAGCAACAGGCCTGTGTGGCAGGCCCCGCGCGGTGCACGAGGCTCTGCTCGGCCGGCGGCCAGGCCGACTCTTCACAGACCGAGGCGGGTCTCCGAGTCGGCGGCGCAGCCCCCATCCGCCCACCGCCCCAGGCCCGCGGGTCGCGAGGGAGGAGAGGCGGCCGTGGGCAGGGGTCTGGGCCGGGCGGTCCCACCCGCAGGACCCTCCCTGGGCCCCGGGGCGCTTAGCCCTCGCGGACGCTGACGCGCGGCTCGGCCAGGGAGCTGTGGATGATGCTGAGGATAGTCTCCAGGCCGCTGCCCTCCAGCAGCGTGCGGTGGTCCCCCTCGACCACGTGCACGGACACCTTGCCGTCGCACACCTGGGACAGGTTGTAGTCGGCGCCCAGGCCCTCGCCGTACACGCTGCCCGTCTTGGCGCGCAGCAGCGTCACGTTGCCGTGGTAGGTGGCCCGGGGGACGTACTGCTCGGCTGCGCGCAGCTTGTGGTAGAAGGAGTGCGCCGCGAAGCTCAGCTCGCGGGGGTCCAGGCCCGCGTGGCTGCGCGTGATCAGGTCCACGGTGGCCGCCACGCGCTCCTCCAGGCCCTTGAGGGGCAGCAGCGCCTCCAGAACCTGCGGGAAGGGTCTCTGAGCCTTGCGTCGGCCACGGGCTGCCTGGGGCGGGGCGGGGCGGGACCCTGAGACTGTGCTGTGGGGGAGGGTGGGCTTCCG